ATTTCTTCATGCTCAGTACTAGTAATTAACTGATCTCTAGTGAATTATAGCACCTGGGCTATCCATCCTTGCTACCATGAGAATTATTAAGCAGCAAGCTGTGAAGCTAACAGCTCGTTAGAAGCTTTGCAAAACACAGCAGCACATAGCCCAAGTCCCACAAACTCACAATTTATCGCAGTGTACAGAACTGCAATGGAAACAAGACGACTGGTATAAAGGGAGAAAGACTGGAAGGTCTGAATGTGGGAGCAGGAGGAGGATCGGCAGAAGGGCTGTAAGAGGCACCCAGATCAGCAGGTCATCAAGATCCTAGGACAGCAACTTTTGTTTGAAAGTGTAGCTCTGCAGGTTACTTGGAGTAGAAGGGGTGGTCTATACCCAGACTAAACCAAAGACTTAAGCCACCTAAGTATGATGATGGGAAAAGAACAGGCTGGAGCCCTTGGCTGCTCAGATGAGGTGAGAATGGACAGTGAGGAAATCCTAATGACTCACAGAGGCGGGACAGGACAGGACAGATGCAAAAATGATGGGCAGCTCCTAATGGGTACAAAGGGCACTTCCAAAGCCAGCCAGCCTCCCCAGTCAAAGCAGTGACCAGGAGATATGAGGAGGACTTCAGCTCAGGCAAGCCTTGTTCTCTGGGTCGCCGTAAGGATCCCTGTCCAGGCCAACTGGGTACAAGTATCTTGGTGTCTGGCTGCTGGACAGACTGCTTGAGTACATGCATCTTGGTGCTCATATGTGGGCGTGTGAGTATAAGCAAAAATCAGTTTCAAAATAAGATCACCTCCCCTTCCTATGAGACCTTTCCTTACCCTCTTGCAACATTAACTTCCACCCACAGGTGACAAGAAACACAGAACAACATGGCTGGTAGGGAGCTCCAGAGTGAGGAAAGAAACTGCGAGAGGAGATAAAGGGAACTTAGGGAGAAGATAACTGTAGTGCTTGGGGGACAAAAAGCAGAAGACCGTTCAGCCAGAATGCATAAATGATGGTCTGTCAAGAGGAAAGACACAGTGGAAGGAGCAAGAGGAGTTTATGAAAGTTA